TATATCGCGTATGACCAGTACAATTTTTGTTACGATATCTGCTAATGAGTTTGACCTATAACATTTTTGATTTGTTATTTGGTATATCGCGTATGACCAGTACAATTTTTGTTACGATATCTGCTAATGAGTTTGACCGGTAACATTTTTGATTTGTTATTTGGTATATCGCGTATGACCAGTACAATTTTTGTTACGATATCTGCTAATGAGTTTGACCGGTAACATTTTTGATTTGTTATTTGGTATATCGCGTACGACCAGTACAATTTTTGTTACGTTAAATGCTAATGAGTTTGACCGGTAACATTTTTGATTTGTTATTTGGTATATCGCGTATGACCAGTACAATTTTTGTTACGTTAAATGCTAATGAGTTTGACCGGTAAAATTTTTGATACTTTATCTGGTAGCGAGAATGACCGTTGCCATTTTTGTTACGTTATCTGGTATAATGAGTATGGACGGTACTTTTTTTGTTACGTCATATAGTATTGAGTTATATCAGTTCCATTTTAGTGAGATGGAATGTGAAAATAACGCGCGATTCGTGCAATATGTTACGCAGAATTGTGCAATAGCGGATACCTGGCAAGGTTTCCAGCGCGGTCAGTAAACTGCCCAATATATATTTTTTATTAAAGGAATAGCCGCATACAGCTTTTTCGTGGAAATAATCTTGATGAGGGATAAAATATAAGGTATTCGCTTTTTTGTGTTATATATCTATTGATATATATGTCCTGTATCGGTACAATTTTTGTAGTATTTTTTTTCCTTTACAGAATTAAAGGCATAGTGTAATAAATAATGGGTAAGTTGACGTAATATCTTATAATAGTCATTGTCTAAGATATCTTCTGCACTGTAAAATTGTCACGTTCTTATTTTCAATGTTCTAATGATAATGATAATAAACTCTTCATTTGACGAAGATAGCTTATTCAGGCAAAACATTAAAGCACCAAAGATAACACATATAATGCAAAGTCTTATTTTCAACAAGACCTTCAAGAAACTTAAAAATAGACGTATTAAAAATGTGACATAGCATTTCATTACAATAGCCGCTCTTATTGAGTAAAATCTTAGATCTTTTGCTTATTTATCATTCTCGGACAATAGAAAGTGTAATAGAAAGTAAACACACCTTTCCAAATACAGCATGTTTTTTTTTCTAGACAAAGGCACTTCAATTTCTTTCTTTTTTTAAAGTAGATTTCTAAACCATTATAATGTAATAAAGTGATATGGTTTAAGCAAAACAAATGGTAAAGTTTATACAGTACATGAAATGATAAATCGTTTTGGTTTTTTTTTTTGAAAAAAAAACATGCGGGATACATTACGTTTACATAATTATGACATATATTTTAAAACAATTTCAATATTAAAGGATGTTGTTTTTAATATCAATATATCAATTTATCAATATAAATCAACATAAATCATATATCATGCACTGATGTAGAGTGGAACAGTTTTATTTTGATTTATATCTAACATTGATTAATCTTTATTGTTCTTATACCTTTTTCACCTTTTCAAGCATATGATGTCAGAGAGTTCAGAATATGGGCTCTGAATTAAAAAAAGGCTGAAAGATGTTGCTCAGCAAAATGATAATTGAGCCGTGTCACGACAAAACCAACATAATGGGTTTGCGACCAGCATGGATCCAGACCAGCATGCGCATCCGCGCATCTGATCAGGATCCATGCTGTTCGCTTACCAACCCTATTACAAGTAGAGAAAATGATTGCAAACAGCATGGATCCTGATCAGACTGCGCGGATGCGCAGGCTGGTCTGGATCCATGCTGGTCGCAAACACATTACGTTGGTTTTGTCGTGACGCGGCTCATATCATTTTGCTATTCAAGATTATTGCTGCTTTAGCTAATTTCAAAATATGTTTTAAGTTTTTGGTAATATATCAGTCAACATGTTACCTTTAGACTGGTTATTCACAATAATGATATATACGTATGTCATTGTTTTCATATATACATTTCTCATTTTAATATGATGCATAGCTCATTTCATATAACTTTTAGTCCATTATTTCATATAATACATACACAATTCTTTCATATGACACATAATTCATTGTTTTATACATTTGTATTACACAAATTTATTCACAACATAGCTCATTATTTCATATAACACATTTCATTATTTCATATAAAACATAGTTCAACATTTCATAATTATAACAAATTATTTTTTATTTCTTAATACATAATTGAGCCACGTCACGACAAAACCAACATAGTGCGTTTGCGACCAGCATGAATCCAGACCAGCCTGCGCATCCGCGCAGTCTGATCTGGATCCATGCTGTTCGCTAGCAGTTTCTCTACTTGTAATAGAGTTGGTAAGCGAACAGCATGGATCAATGCGCAGGCTGATCTGGATCAATGCTGGTCGCAAACCCATTATGTTGGTTATGTCGTGACACGGCTCATATTTCTTATCAATTTATTTAACACATACACATACTTCATTATTTCATATAATACATTATGCAGTATTCATTTAACACATAGTTCATTATTTCATATAAAACATAATTAAGTAAAGCCTCTTGTGGTTGAGAGAGTTGAGGCATCAGAACTACAAGTTTAAAACATTCGAGGTTAGCCAAATTTTTCATTTCTGTTTTGGTGCCCTATGTACTAACTTGTGTTCGTGCGCCGTAAAATTAGACGAAACAAAAGCAAACAATAAAGCAATTGATAAATGTAAAAAAAAATTAACAACACCACTAAAACAACCAAAATGTCATGTCTTTGCAGAACGACTTAAACAAATCTAAAGGAAACGTGTTTTCATGTTGCTGTACTTTTACCAAATAATGATATCAAAAATAATTATATTGAACATGTTTTAGTACTGTTACTTGAAAACAACACACGTACTTTAACCATATTTTGATTTGACATATCTAATTTATATAAACTCATAAAAACATTAATCATTGTACGTGTCATTTCGAGACATATTTTCATACAAACAATATGTTCGAATCGTAAAATTTAGACCATGGGGTGAAAATGTCTTTTTGAATCGTGTAATAAATCACTTTAAACTTACTATGTGACGTAATTATATTAATTTAAAATACATGTCGCACCTAATTAAACCTAATGACGTTTTTACCAATGTCTAACTGGGTTAAACAGGCCAGGTTGACATAGAAAAACTATCCCATCTATTAGTCAATTTAATTAGATATACCATAAAAATGTCACCTGTTATCACTTTCGAAATTAATGGGTTGCGTTTGCCATATTTTAATAAAATGACTGTAATTTATGTTTGTAAAGCGATTTATACATGTATTGACCTACACCGAAAGTACACTTCAATATTTCCTTTACAAGTGTGTAATTGTTGTTATCACTGCCACGTATTTCTCAATCACCATCTGGTTAGCTGTAAGTCGGATGACCCGATTACTGTGAGTCGGGTGACCCAGGCTCGATTCTCGAATGATGCTGGTCACATTCGTTGTGATGGAAATTCTTTCTACTGTCATTCGCACTGTATCTCTGCTCTGGCGTGCACAGAAAGAGTATCAATTTATTGCAAAAGTGTAGGCACTAGTATTCAATTTAGTGAATTGATTGACAGCTTGCCCATGAGCGATGCGGCGGCTGAACTGAATTTAAAGTGGATTACTGCCGTGCCTCGGAAGGTAATGTACAACCCCCCCCCCCCCCTCGATTTCTCTAAATTAATTCGGTGCAAACATGCTGTTGAGAATGAGAGGCAGGGGGCATCGGCAATAGATTTGGAGCTTGGTCGATGTTTGATTCACCGGCTTCAGATCCGAGCTTTGTTCTGTACGTCGAGGGCATATCCTTGAAATCCAACTATCATTTATAGTGGTGTTGAGTTAAGCTCTTCTCGTATAACGAACCGGTTACCGATGTCCTGGCTGATTTTCCGAGGGAAATGGCCCAACATAGTAGGCAGGGACTACGAGGAAGGGTTTAAGGATGTGTGGGGCCCTAGTATGCAGTGACGGCTTGAAAGACGTAAATTTTGCTTGGCAAAAATAGCTCTTATCAGGACTGCATCCTTTATTGTAGCCACAGGTTATTGTACGTTCTAGGACTCACTGGCCAATGTACATTGATCTTATTTCGGCTCAAAATTCACCTATTTTGGTAATACTATTACGATGTAAATTATCACCACTTTATGCTTCGATCTTGAAGGACATGACTGGTGATATGTCCGGGTTTCGTACGCGAAAGCTATTTTAATGACTGTTCATGCTAGCTACATAGGCTATTAACATATATTTATGAATAAAACTTAAGAAGAAACAAACACAGTGCAACCCTAATTACTTCTTTATTTTTTAACAGATTTTAATAATGTTTATATCAAATGATTGGTTGCTTACATTTTGTAACAATCTATTAATTATTTTAGCATCCTTTGTTGGTCCAAGAACGTACAATAACCTGTGGCTATATAATAAAGGACAAAAACAATTTTAAAAAAAAAAAACGAAAAGGATGAAATGAGTTCAAAGAATTGAAAGTACACTCTATCATGATAGAAGATAGCCATTTTATAGATTCAATGAAATGAACCAATTTTCTTGCAATCATTTAAAATCTGTAATTTACATTCTAGAAAACAGGATGTTATTTTGGCAGCAATCATCTTCCATAGTGATATCTGACACCTTAGTTATCTTGTAATGCTTGTTAGATGGGCCGACGCGTACCGGTGTGATAAGACATTTTTTTAATCGGCGTAAAAACCAAAGCAAACAAACAAACAAAAACTGACACGTCTGAAAAAAAGCTTTATATTTTCTTAAATTAATAAAAGGAGGTACTAAAAGTTAAAGGTTAATGATTATAAAAGACGTGGGTGTAAAAACGCACCACTTATCTTTCAAATGTTTCACTTTTCATTATCTCCCATTTGCTAAACAAAATAAACAAAGGTAAGAGCTAGAGCCCGTCATAAATACTGGAATTAATATGCGCTCTTAGTTTGGGTGCTTTGACATGTTTATGGTTTTAACCTGATAAAACAGATGCACAGGCTTAAATGACGTATACCCAATTACGCGGGTTTATGGGGGTCTCCGTTCAAGTACCGGGATTTGATAAAAACCGAAATTATTGCAGTTAACAGATATTGCAGAATTTGTCAAACGGTTTTTGTTAAACTTATCGCAAACTTTGTCATGCAAAATCTACTTAAACTTGTATGAATTGATACAAATAAATTTCCCATAGAAGTTTTTGAACAATAATGCTGGAATTGTTGTAACAAAGAAAGGACTTAGAATGGTAAGAAATTAAACAATTGTTATCATTAATCCATTATTGTCTATTCCATAAAGTAATAGTTTCTTGTGATTTTAATACTGCATACCTCCGCATGATACCAAATATTTCAAGAAAATCAATTTTAAGATAGATAAATAATTAAGTATCTTCCGTTAAAACATAAAATATAAGAAACATGTCCTAAAATTTTTAGAAAAGTAAAACGATTCAATATTCAATTCATTTTACATATTTAATACTATTAATGACAAATTTTGCAGTGTCTATCACCATGTTCCTAATGCGTGACTTACGCACTGAGGGCTATTATTTACATATTCTGGACCATTTTTTGGTAGTTTTCGTAGATTTTAAGTGCTGTTTGCAGTGTGTAAATTACTGTCTTTGTGCACTTGACAATATTTCACTTTTTTATACGTTTAAAACATTGTCATAAAAGTAACCAAGAATCTGGAGGCATGCTGCTTTAAATAATACCTATTCCTCTGATTTAAATATGCTCAGTAAGTTAAGAAATTAAAAATCTATATATATATAGAATAAATGATTTTCGAGCAAGATTTTTACTGCCACTTACAGTATTTTATCTTTAATACTACAGCACTATATGAATGAAACAAACTCTTTAAAACCAAACTAGATGAACTCTTCCATTTTATGCTAGAGTTACAAATAGCATTGAAGCAGATTAAAAACTGCATAATAAACTTTAATATTTAAATTTTGCGTAATCATAGGAACTGATAAAATAAACATAACTGCGGACAAAATCGGAGATCACCGACCTCGACTTTACATTATCTGTTCTTAAATTCTTTGCCCTTTTAAGGTAATTTCAAGGGCAGAAAATTTATACACGATTCTTACAAATATTATTTTCACTATGGGTTTATAATTTTCATTTTATCACTTATCAATTACAAACATTTTTCGGAATTCCATGAAACATTTGAAATTTGTAAGAATCACTGGCTGGAAGTCCGCTGAATAAAAGGCAGGAAATAATTCATTTACTGCATTCTTACCTCGATTGGGTTAAAATAAGCAAATTTTTCTAATCCAAGGAAAGGTACTCGAAAATGGTGGTAACCCATTTTTCGTTAAACTGTTTCTATTACTATATTCTGTGATTATGCAAAGTATAATTAAAATCAGTTATGTAGTTTTCATTCTGCAATATGTCTGTAAGTAACTAGCATATTATTTATTATTATTTGTTAATTTTATTTTATTTTATTTTATTTACTTTACTTTACTTTACTTTCTTACTTTGCTTTACTTCAATTTACTTTACTTTACTTTAAATTGTTTATATGTCAAAAACATTTGGAGTGTTTCCTTATGTATTACTGTCATTTAATGTTTGAAAATATTTTTTTTTTCACTTGACCAATAGAATTTTAGCAGTTTTCAAATGAATCATAATACATTTAAATAAATTATACATTTAAGTAAATCGGCAAACTATTAATCAGTCTAGTAAATCGACTGTTTTCAAATACTAAATTGGTTAGTGTTTATAAGGAAGCATTTACTACATTAAATTGGTAGAACGGATGTGTAGTTCTTGGCCAATTTGACCGGAATGTGGCACGACAATATCTAAACTCAATGGGCCTCCATGACTGTTTGATTAAGGTCGCTGACATCGAACCATTTGTCCATTACCGCTGTGGCTTCTTTCATATTAAAACAATCCAGCCAGCAAGAAGGTTGGTAGTTGATATCCGCTCGTGCGTGAATTATTCCTTGGAAAGTCATCTAAGTTTTTTTCTCCGCAAATCACCATGTGACCTTTACATAAAGAGTCGATATGACTTAAAACCCTGCCGAATAAGACATGATTGTAAACAAAGTATAGCGATAGTATACCAGAATAGAAAAATGCTGGGAGGGATATCTTATCAACAAATGTCCATTTATATATATATCGAGCGATATGAACAGAATAGAACATAAACTTTATTTCAGACTTGTAAAAAATACATCATCATACACAATATAATCATTCAAATATATCAAACGGCAAGAATTTCCCACGCGTATACACACTCGACAAGCACGGGTAAAAATGGACACGACTGCGATGAATTGTATAAAGTTGGTTATGTCGCCATCCAACCTCCATATGCACTGTAAACATAAACTTAACATGATTCTCATACATCTTCTTACGAAACACAGATAAAGAAAGGTAAATATTTGTGCGTAATGGTCCATGTAGGAATACCTTTATCTAGAACTTGTTGTACAAAATAGCCTACGTTTTGATAAAAAAAACTCTTCAGTTTCATATGTACAAGAGTCATTTAACCTAACAAGTTTCGTCTGGTTAGTCTTTTTATCATGACATTACATTGATTTTTGTTGATAAAATGCATGTCTTATAAATTATGATCAGTCACCCTTCAGTTTTATCAGACACCTCATCAATACAGTCATGTTGAAATACAATGAAGTGAATGCAATATTTTTTACCTCATACTGGTTTGCAAACATTACACCGGTAAACTTTGAATCGAATAGATTGCTTGAATATTAAAGTCTCCCTTATATTTGACTAAAAACAAATTTGGGACTTTTTTTTAAAGATATAAACCATGACATATTACTTCGCGCGGCATGAACTCGACATGTTCTTGACAATTTTTGTGTCATCGGAAATTTAAAGAAATAAAAGCGTATTAAAATTTAAAAACATAATAAGTAGAATACTAAACAAGTGTCTGATATAATAAAATTGATCTGGCTAGGCACGAAAAAACATAATGAAGGGCGAGACACTTCTTTTTTTCTTAGCCTTGCCTGATAAATTTTGTAATATCAGACATTAGCATGGTTTTCTCTATCATTGAGGTAAGGCACATATTATGCTAAAAGTGTGTCTATAAATACATGTATATGTACATGCAAATAATTTTGAATATCAGTAACTACTCTTGACTTTTTGAAACTATACCTTCTGTTATCTCCGAGCCTCAATAAAATGAAATTTATATCTTACCCCTTTATAAAGTTTAGGATAAGAAGTTCAGAATATATTATTACTTTAAGATCAAAAGTATTCTTAAAGTAAACACTTAAGATACGCCCTTTTATTAAGGGTCCCGAATAGTATACTGTAAAGTATACTTTTCTTATTTATGACATGATGAAATTCATTTGCGCACTTTGTCTAGCTGTATATTTGACAATAAACAATTGAGAGTTTAAATTATACTTTAAAAAAAGTTTTTATATCTCTCTGAAGTCAAGATAAAGTCATCAGGGTCAAGGAGAAAGTGCTTATAAAGACGCATCAGAAACGTTTACTTGATTTGAAAAAAAAAGAAAGAAAATACTACTGTTGTATTTTAATTCAAATTAATAATAACATACAATCTGTAAGGCAGTCCTGTATTTTGTTGTTATGAAACAACAAAAATTGCATCTACTACATTAGCATCGGCCTTAACGTTCAAATTTATTTGCAGTAATAATTAAATGTGATTCATATATGTGAACAAGATCCGTATAATAACAGGAGGAATCAAACTTCTGATACATGTAATACATATTAAAAGCCCATTATGTCTCTAAAATAATTTTATGTTCATTTCCCAATAGCATTTTGTTCATTTTATTTTGTTTATTTATTTCTTTGTTGTGTGTATGTGCTTGCCAACGTACGAGTGTGTGTCAAGCTATAGTTTCCAAAAAGTTACCCATTAACCAATATCTATACGCATCAATTTGCTTTAGAATCTATTGCATGGCAATATGTACAGATATTGTGATTTGGTATTTTGAAATGAAGCCAAAGTACTACTTTGTTTATTTTTGTTACACTTGTGACAAATAATTTAGCATTTAGTGCTACTTTCTTCGGTTGATTATCACGTAAAGTGCTCTCAAACCATTATTCCAACATTATAAAACTCATGTTCGTTTTTTTTCCCAAAACAATGAAGAAACAAAATCATTTTTGAGATATAATGTACCTTTAAACATAGTATTTGATCGAGCAAGCGACAACAAGGAAATGCATTAATTTTATCAAAAAACTCTTAAATAATGATAATTTCGTTTTTCTCATCGATCAAACTGTGCGCATGCGCTTGTAAAATAGTTGTACGAATCGAATGTTTTAAATGTAAAATTTGAGTAGATCTTCTATATACTTCTATTTGACATATTGTAAAATAATTGATTAAGATTGAGACGCAAGGAAACAATAAATCTGTACGGTATGATTCCCATTGATTTATTTGTCTCTTGTTCCCAATATAAATCAATAATGTGGTACTTTTTTAAATTTTATCTTTTATTTCCGTGTTTATCAAAAAAAAAAATCATAAAATCTTAAAGATTTTTTTTACTTCTCTAATGAAAAGATCATTGTCCAGACCACATATTGAGATATCTGGCAGATTGAAATATTGCTTAATTTTTTAAAACTGTATCGATCTAGATCTACATGAAGAAAGTACGTTTATAAAGATAATTTAACATTTTTGTCTATTACATTATCATGTTATTTCAGTCATTTATAAAAGCGGCTAATAAAAGTAAGAAGGGTGCAACTCACGAGTACGTGAACGAGGCTTACCAACGCTTTCCGGAAGAAGACGAAGACGATGGTTACAAGATTTCCGATACTGACGACAATGATGATGACGTCAGCAGTGACGACACGGATACAACTACGTCAAACAATGACAGCGCGTATCAAACAATCTCCAAAACGTCGTCTGAAAATGCGCCGTGTGAACAGCATAGACGGAAATCAACGAAAAATAAACTAAGGTGAAGAAAAAAAACATTCTTACACCCGTTATTCACAAGAAATGCATTCAATTTTTATTTCTCAAAAGCTTTCTAAATTTGGGCATCCCGTTGTCTAGTTTCATGAAAAATATTCATTTGCCATAGCTCTACCTGTACCCTTTTTGCTTGCTTTGTTTTTATCAATTGGTGCAATCAACAATGAATCAAGATCTAGTGATAATATTTTGTATGGAATTCAATCTACTTTCTTCACATGTTTCTATGTCTACGACAAATAGTGTATATAACATGTAGCACTATTTTTTTCTGGTAAACGCATCTAACTAGGCTATGCTCTCATGGCTCTTAAACTCTCATTTTTACGTTTTAAAAGAAGGAAACATCTATTCGTATCTGAGGTATAGTTTGCATTTTATACCAGCTACAATAATTCAGTGCAAATATAATATTTTTCTATTCAAGCACGTTTCAGCTATTTGTCTATTTAAAATAAACAATATTGAAGCCAAAGTACTACTTTGTTTACATTCTTTTACTTTTAAAGTACATTCCGTGCTATATAGTACATGTTAAAATCAGCTTGTATTACTAAAACTATTAATTAAACGTTTTAAAACACGTATTTGCCTATTCTTAGGAAGGGAAAAAATATTTTTTCTCATGCATAAAAACCGAACATTCTAAACATTATCCAATCATTCGACTGAAATAACTTATTCAAATCTTACAGGACATATGTATACATGAGTAGTTAAATGTTGTTTAATTCTATAGAACATTTTATCTAAAATTATAATGTAAAAACTAGGTTTAAAACTGTAAGACATCATTTTTATTCCGATACTTTTGATTTCACATGTTTTAGAAATTTGATTTTCCTATCTAAAGTTCTAAACTTTCTAAAGTTATAATTTAGTTTAAAAAGATAGACATTTAACCTCTATTTAAAATTATTAACAATTGAATCGCGCGGTCTGATCCGGATCCATGCCGTCGCTATCAGTTTTTCTACTTGTAATAGGGTTTGTAAGCGAACAGCTTGGTCTGATCAGACTGCGCCGATGCGCAGGCTGGTCTAGATCCATGCTGGTCGCAAACGCATTACATTGCCTTTGTCATGACGCGGCTCATTTATATATACATTTCTTCCCAGGACAACAAATAGATGGGACGTGTTTAGAGAGACCTCCGAGGATAATGTGACGTCATCGGAACTAGATTTCTGGAATACAATCTTTAAAGTGACCAAAGTAATATTTTCAATAATTTTGTTTATATTTGTACTTGGTGCGTCAGTGATCTCGAAAAGTACACTGTTCCTGTTGACCTCAAACATATTCCCGCCAAATTCATTTCGGAATACCTCGTTGAAGACGTCGCACTTTCACTTCCGTTACCAAACCTCAGGTTAGTTTGTTAATGTAATATATCGTATCTTAATTGCAACAAATTTTTCGATACCATTTTTGTACCAGAAAAGTTAAGCTGCTTCAATTTACTTTATAATTAGGTAGCAAGGGTCCTTTTAGAGCTACGACCCTTTCATTTTTGCTTCCGTTTATCAAATTATAAGATGCAAAAGATTTAAGGTCGTACAAACATAACTATATTTGCATTATTTAATTTAAACAATATTTATTTCCAGAATTTACAACACATAGATATACATTACAACCAGGAGAAATTGTATAATAAGAAACATGAAAGACTGATGATATAAGTTAATGATATACAATGCTAAAGAAATTATTAACTTAATTAAATTCGGAAGAGGATTTAAAAACAAGTCCAAGACTTATGTAAATTCATTTCCTCAGAAATTAATTAATTGAATTATTTAAAAATAAGTAATAATAATAACCAATAATAACACAAAATATGACATTATATTTCAGAAACTGCCGTGACGTATATTTGGTCCCTCGTGCTTGTAGTTATAGCCCCATATTTCTTTACCATGATCGCGAAAACTTGGAAGCTAATTTTCAAAAAGACAAGGCCTTTAGAGTGGAGACCGCTTCTAGTGGTACGTATGGTCAAGGGAAAGAGAATATTTTAATTATTTCCCCGATTTATACTACGTTTACTTCATTTCCAGGATACAATATTTAACTAAAGTGGCTGATTTGTGCCATGCTGTATTTTCGCGAGGCTTTGGTAGTTTGAATTGAAGCCAAAAACTACTTTGGTTATATTTGTTACTCTTGTGACAAATAATTTCACATTTTGCGCTACTTTCTACATGTGATAATCACCGAAGATGCTTTAAAGCCACAATTCCAACATTATTAAACTCCTGTTTGCCTTTTTCAAAGCATGAAAACAAAATCATTTCTAAGGCATAATGTGACTTTAAGAATTACATGCACTTTAAGAATATGATAATCCAGAGTGTTGTTATTATAGTTTATTCTTGCTTAATTTGTAGCAAGCAGGTGTACATTTACGGAGATGATAATATGCATATTAGATTTTCAGATTAAATCACACGAGCATGTCGTTTAGTCCGTCCTCGTATTTCTGCAGATCCTAATGCACGGAAAAACTGATGCATAAACCCTCTGATGATAAATGTTTTAAATATTTTCAGGCAATGCTTGTAGAAACGTTTCACAGTGTTGGCATCAGTTTGTTTATATTCAGCGTGTTACCAAACCTAGATCCTGTAGCCGGAGCACTGTTTTGTATGAATGTAGCCATCTTACCAATTGTTATTAACGTGGTATATTCTGGTAAGATGTTCAGATACACTTCTATCCCAAACGTGTACAGTAAATCAAATTTATGATGGCTGATTTGGAACAGTTCTGTGCGTCGTGTTGTTGCTAGCGACAGCACGACAAAGCGCCAAACGGCGCGTTATCGCACTGTCGTCTTGTTGTCCTGTCGCAAACGACGCTCACCAAAACGGCGTGTTGTCGAGCGGCGTGTTGTCGCGATAACGATATAGTTTTGGGTTGTCGCTATCGACAACACAACGCGCAAAGTGTACCAAATCAGCCCCCATACAAATCAGTTCTTAACAATAAAACAATTGAGTTTAGTTTGATTGTTGTCTGGTTTTCTCATTTCAGCTCCCCCCATCTTTTAGGAAATCCGCTTTAAAATAAAAGTTAAAAGGGTGTGCGTTTTGTATGAGAGTGTTTTGTACGAGAGCGTTTTAAAAGGTTAGTGTTTGTAAGGTTAAAAAGATTTACACACGATTCTCTTTTATTAGCGGAATGGCATTTTTCTATCATGATAAAAATCGTAACAAAGGCCCAAAACTTAGATAATGTGTTAATTTTTTCATGCTAGCTCTAACACTAAACAGAGCTGAAACAAGCGATGAAATATTTTGTTACGTCAAAAGAAATATTCATGTACTCGTGAAATTTAACGAAATTAAAAAAGAGACAGTAACAAGGGCCAATTAAGCCCCAATAAATTCCACTACATGTATTTCTATTTCTCAAAAGTCTTTTATTTGCTGTTCAGCTACAACTTATAATAGTGAAACATAATTATGCCATATAAGAAATTGTTGCTTCTTTTGCTTATATGACAGAAGAACAAATATATTGATATAGTATTTTGTATTGGAGACAAAATATTGCATTGTTAACATTTTAATTTGATTTCTTTTGTGTCAGATGATTTCACTTTCTGCATTACATTATTCGGGTGATACGCACCTATCATGTTATCACCATATAAATCTACTATTAAAACATAATTATAAAACTAATGTTTCCCCTTTATATAGAAGTAAAAAGTCCATTTCATTTATGAGGCTTTATGTGCCTTTAAACAGTTAAACTTTGAGTGAGGTGTCTTTAATGGTTTGTTTTGTTTGATTGAGTTTTTCGTCACATAGACACAGTATATATCATCAGCTTTACTGGTGGAGGAAAACCTCAGGTGCCCTTCCGTGCATTATTTCGGGCACGAACAAACACCTGAGTAGAGCCACCGACGTTCCATAGAAAGTAACACAAATATAGCGATGCTTCTATTGATATACATGTATTGTGTGCGCTGCCATGTAATACCTTATAAGAAAACGTACGAAAGAACCTGTCGTTTCTTTCTTCCATACACAACTTTTTGTTTCAAAACACTAAAAAGTATCTTGGAATGATCTTTATGAAGTAAATTGTTACAAGTTATCATTTGACGCGTAGGTTCCGAAGCCGGCGTCATTGAGTCTTCAACAGAGCGGCTGATTAGGCGTGTTCTTGCCTTTGGCGCTTTGGGTTCGAGCCTTACATCGTTGGCATTTTGGACCTATTACGTGTATGATTTGGATTCTGACTGGCAGAAGGACAAGCCGGGGCTAACTATATTTACTGTGATATCTCCAATCTTAGTGTCCATTTATTGGTGGGAGAATTTTGTGCCACAGGTACGTTTAAATCATTACATACAACGATTCTTTTGTATTAAAATGAAATATACGTATTATTTACGGAAGATTTTAAGGGATATTGAATAACTTAGAGCGATTTTTGTTGCTTATTTTACAGTCGAAATTTGGCCAAATTGCCAACTCAAAATGGTATATTATTTTCCCAATCAACAGGAAAAATATCTTATCGAAAGTTACAAAATATGAGTATTGAATAAAACATTCTAAAATCTTTGTAAGAAAGGGCTTCTTCACTGTAAGTGATTGTTTGCATTCATTTAATCCGTGCAAAATTTCAGTCATGCACCCCCCGCCCTCCCTTTTTTTAACAAAGCATCAACACTGAAATTCCCAATTCCATGGGAACGGGTCATGTTCCTAAAATCCTGCGGGGGGGCTGTCTTGAGAGTAGGTTGATATATTGCCTTTTAAATTACTTCAATCACAATTCTAGGGTGACGAATCGTCAACAGGACTTCGTAAACTTAAACGCCAGCTTCGTAGCAGACGAACGAAAGTTTCAGCAATTATGAGTCTATGGAAGATAGTTGTAACATTGTGTATGGTATGGATTATTTTCGGTGTTGATTGCACAGACGGCATAAAGTGTCTTCAGACGATGTTTGACGTCACGAGCAACGCTACACTGTCGTCTGCAACGTTCGGGCATACAAATCTCGTGATAAATGTGGTCGTCGGCACGTGCTCCAAATACTTACCTTTATTTATAGCCGCAGTAAATATAGGGTCCAGCTACTTTTGCTACAGGTAAGATATTACACTTCCCTTTAGTTAGTGAAATGCATCAATGCGCTTATTGGTAAATGTGAATTCATTTGGGCTGACTTTCATTGAAAATGTCCAATTAATCCTAACTTCCTAAAACATAAGACAAGTCAGAGATTTTGGTGTACCTAGTAACCTCCACCGAGCGGCCACCTGAGGAGCAATCATAAGTATAGCATCTGCTTTTGTAGGAGTGATTGTTACTTGTTACGCGTATATTTTCCTGTTTACAAACTTTTAACCAGTGTTATACACCATTACAAAAAATATGGAAATGCAAGACAATATAATTAACATTCATGCTGGAAATTATTTATACATAAATTTGAATTTTAACATTATACAGTGTCCATAAAGCGAGCCGAACAGTCCGCTTTTCCCTTCGAAAGAGTTATATCTTGCTATGGCACAAACTTTTAACATGATATATTAATCAACCTTTAGGACTATTGGCGGCAACATATTCTAACATTGCAGACCTAGATCAGTCGGCACATCTGGTCTGCACTGGTCGCTATTTAGTCAATATATATATATATGTATATTTCTTTTAAATATCCAAAATTAAATGGTTTTGTTTAGATTGAAAGATGAACAGGTCCATTTATAAATAAGGTATATAGATTTGTGGGTGTAAAATGTAAGCTTGATTAATGTATTAAAATTACAAAAGAGTTTATATGAACTTCTTTGTAGCATACGTACTGAAACATAACACAAATGTTTTACATTTTATTTTATTATTAAAAAACAATTTTATTAAGCAAACACTTATGGCCCTTATAGGCATGACAGTGAACAAACAAAGAAACAATACTACAAATAATAACACAAATATTGCAAAGAAATAAATAAGTAATTGAGGAGGATGACTTGGTGAAAATTCAGCATTATTGCTTTAAAAGACATTGCTAGATTAGATTAAGTAAAGTATTTCTGTAAGCACAAACAATTAAGACTGAAATTTTAAAATTCTAGGACACCTTGAATAGAAATTACTGATATACTCGTGTCTTTCATGCGTAAATAACTACATTTAAAAAGATGTAATGGAATTCATCACCTATTTCATGCTGGTTACAAACTTTTTATTCGTGTAGATGCTGCGTATCAGCGAACAAGATTTTAGCGCAGATTCCAAGCTTCTCAGTGCCATTGATTCTATCTACACCTGTCACTCTCGCTATCATGATTGGAGAGTATTCTCAGTCAGTGAGTACCGTTCCTTTTTACTCCCGCCCGCATAAAAACAAACAACAAAAACAAACAAATCTTAATTTGAGAAATATTAATTTGTAAATGATTTTGTTTTCAAAATAAAAAAGAATAAAGTTAAACATTACAATCTTAAAATATCTTGAATAGTATTTATTATAAGGCAATCAGATACAATAAAAGAATGATATCCCAGACCTATACGACAAAATATTTGTAAATAAAATTAGAAGAACCGCCACTAGTTTTAGGCTGTTCTTACGTTGCACCGTAATATTGACAAATAAAGCCCTAGTTTTTTATCTTTCAATAGAAAGATTGTGGCCGAATATGTTATGTCAGATGCCGAGTTTTATTCTAATGAATGTATATTCTACGGTGGAATAAAGGGGCTATCATAAATATTTCATCTATCACGTGCACACGTAGTAGCTATCGTGATACAATATTGCTGATGTCCCCTCTACGCCACCGTAATTTTCATTAAAAAGTACTAACAATAATTTGTAACAATAATTACAATATTCAGGAGCTGAAAATGACTGAGACATGTTTTCTACCATTTCCACGGTGGAATGGCGATGTTGAATTTGATTGGTCAATTATAATTGCAAGCATTCTGGGATATGTTAGCATTGCCATGGTAACCAGTTATATATGGCGACAGACAAAAGAACGGATGCAACGCGAAGATAGGTATAACAAAACTTACAGGGACAAACAACATTTTTTCTGTTAATCTTTCTTTGGGGTAACTTAATGCTCACCATGTTTTTATGTTGTGGCTTACTAGGGGAGATCTTATTAGATTAAACGATGCTATAATTAATTTTGTCATATCTTACTTTGCATTTAAACAAAGGTTAAGTTCATATTATTGCGTGCAATTAAATCTGAATAATCACGAGGAAGCATTCAAAAACCGAGCCCACAGGGCTGAGGGCGCCTGTACGAAACGAAGTTGTATTGACGCTTTATAGTTCTTATTAAATCCGATAACTCCGCTTTTCGTAATCTGCATTTTGTCAGACGAAACCACTTTGTCATGCTTGCTACATGCATATACATTATGTATTTTTAAGGAAACTATAACAATAAGCTGTTTTACATTGCGCCCTGAGTCAGAATATTTCAAACAACTACAACATAAGCACGTGGACACGTGAATCTAACCGTTAATGCATGTTTTCATTTCCGAAAATGTGAGTGCAGTTATATATTCTTGCACACAAACTGCGCACGCAGGTATACTAGTATATAATTATATTATCACTATATTTTTACAAACTTGCACATGGTTTTGCATCTGCAAATATATCAGTGTCACGTTGTCATCTTTCATGCTGAGCATTTTTAATCACAAGTGTTTATATTTCTCTGAATTTTACATTAACCTTACATTTTATTTTTAACTTAATACTAATTAATTAAAGGATGTTCGTGCAACCGATGTACTGTGGGATATTGTTGGACCAGTCGTTGATACTCAACAGAAGAAAGTACGAGGACAATACTAAAGGACTTGATGAAAAGGTAGCATTTGTTTTACATATCTTGATGAAAATTTTTAGTTTAAGTGATACACGTAACAAATGAAGCATTCTGTAGTAATATGGAATCACCCTTGATTGCTCTTTTTATATCTCTTTATAACAAATAATTACTATTATCGATGTAATGTACATTTTTGACGGATATTACATACGGGGAACAACTTTTTCCCAACACGTAGCATTTTGCTAATATGCATAAAATATAATACTGCTGGACTGGTTCTTTACTTTCAATTTTTAGTTGAGAGATGGGGGTAAAAATTCTGTTTATAATCAATTCTAACCCCACTTCCTCCATTCTTTCACAAAAATAATGGTAAACACTTTGTAAAAAAAGCATTACTCGTACCACATGTGGAATTATAACTTGTCAAAATTGTGTGACTACCTCTGGTAAAAAATCCTGAATCCGCCACTGGATAACATTATTTTTCCCTATTTTTGTAGGAGAAACTTGTAGAGTTACCAATACCGGACAACTTGGACGACTGGCAGCCGGGTCAAGACGACTGGAGCCCTCTACGAACTAATGATACACCGTTCATTTATCTGTGTGCTACTATGTGGCACGAGACTGAAAACGAGATGACTCAGATCTTAAAGTCACTGTTTAGGTTAGGCAGTGTCATAAAAAAAATTCTTGAACACTTGATTAAGAATGACATAATTCAAGTCGTATTTTGCCGAAATTATTATAATAACAGATTCAGCGTTATGTCGAAATACGTTAAATATGATTTGCTGTGCAAAGCATAAGTTCTTTTTATTGTTACATTTGTTCCGATAAAACAAATAACGATGAAAGCTAGTGTCTTTATTTAAATGTTACCAAGGCAAACCCACTATTTTATCGTTACACAATTTTGTTCCAGAATAGCTAAAAAATTGCTACTAGTATTTTAAGTCGGTCTAGAAATGTTTATTCCTCCTTTTATATATTATCAGAATGGACGAGGACCAGTGTGCCAGAAGAAATCTTCAGCTTTTCTTTGGCATAAGAGATCCCGACTATTATGAATTTGAAGGTAGGGCCGTATAGTTTAATAATAAAATAAATGAGCCGTGTCACGACAAAACCAACATAATGGGTTTGCGACCACCATGAATCCAGACCAGCCTGCGCATCCGCGCAGTCTGATCAGGATCCATGCTGTTCGCTTACAAACTCTATTACAAATAGAGAAACCGATATCGAACAGCATGTATCCTGATCAGACTGCGCGGATGCGCAGGCTGGTCTGGATCCATGCTGGTCGCAAACCCATTATGTTGGTTTTGTCATGACGCGGCTCAAACATATTTGATAATCAGAAATATATTTTCTAAAAATCTGATTTCAACAACAGGGTATTTAGATTTGTCCTTGTCCGTGAATGAAGCTCTATTTAAAGTGCTTGAGTTAGAGTCAACAAACTTTAAAAGAATAAACACCAACATGTGAAGTTGTGCACTTGTTGTTTCTCGTGCGGAGTAATTCAGTTTTGTTAGAGTTGTTGCCTTTGATTTGTGTCGCGTGTAACCCAAACATTACATGACCTAGAGTCATGAAACTTAATAGGAATGTTGGTCAGCTTGTGCAGTTGTGCACCTAGGGTTTTTTGTTGTTGTTTTTGTTTTTTGTTGTTGTTTTTGTTTTGTTTTTTTTTTTCATGTTTTTTTCAGTTGTGATAATTCAAAGAAAAGGCTTTTTTCAATGTTTAGAATGTGAAGTTATAAGATTTCGTAATATACGAATTAATTTATGTAAGAATACATTCGGATATAGAATTGATATTTTAAATTCTTGTAACTCAATATTAGGAAAAAATAAGATGTCAGCATTGGAAAAAATGGATTTCGTTTTTATACCCCCATACACTTAGGGGGTAGGAGAAGTCATGTAGAATTTCCTTTGTCTGTCCGTCATACTGTTGTACGTCAATAGTCAAAACATTGCAATGTGGGGCCAATTGTGCCCTAAAGAAACATTTCTAGTTATAATTATATTTTATCTTTATAACATCATTTTTATATTTGGAAAAAGAGCATATTTTTATTATTTAAAATATATTTTATTTTATTATATTTTTTGAAAGAACGCGCACTTATTGTTTGTTACGTTTTTTTTTTCTTTTCCATAAGCACATCTAACAAGTTTGGCTTTTTGTATTTCTAGCTCATATATTTTTTGACGATGCGTTTGATTACAACGGTGAAGAGGCCACGGCGAATGGATATGTAAAACAACTAATCCGAACCATAGACGTTGCTGTCGGGTAGTTTATATTATTATTTTATACTGAATTGTTAGATAATTATGCTAACCTGTAAATGAAGTGTGCGTCATTTCCAATGAAAAAATTAGGTTAACTTATGACATCATTTTATGACCGAAAGAATGCTTATGAATTTATATCCGTCAATTCCATTTGATATCTTAAAGACCCATTCTGGCCAAAAAAATGTTTGTATTTTTATTTCTCAAAAGATTTTATTTTTGGTGTCCTGACATAATTTTAAAAAAAGTAACTCATTAGGGATATAGTATCTTGTATGGAAATCAGTATTTTGTATTGAAGTCAAAATACTACGTACTCAGTTTACATTTTGTTACTTTTATGACAAAAAAACTACAGTCTCTTATATACTCTTATCCGTTATCCAAACGTTATGAAACTCATGCTTGCACTTTCTAAAGAAGAAATAAGTATTCGTTTCAAAGACATAATGGCCTTTAATTTTACAGAAACGATAAAAATAAATACAAAAAAATATATACCAAGGTCAAATGCAGTTTCATTACATAGTATTTGTATTTCAACGAAGTCTAAATATGAAAATAATAGCTTGTTATTTTAGTTTTAAAGCTTCTACGTTCTTAGAGTTCGCTTTATGTTTCACGTGATAAAAACTATTCCAGTTCAGTGCACGCCCATGGTATGAAGATACCGCCCCCAACGAAAATTGACACGCCCTATGGAGGACGTCTGATATGGAGGTTACCCGGTGGTAATAAAATGATTGCTCATTTGAAAGACAAAGCTAAAATACGTCACAGAAAGAGGTGGAGCCAGGTAGTGTTGCGCATGTGTAATTTCACATTTTAAAATAATGCTTTCTGCTCTTTTGTTTTCTTTTTTTCTTTTCTTCCTTTTTTTTTTGTTGTTGTTGTTAAGAGAAGCCTACCAGAGACAAAGAAATATCTAAAGAAATATCCTCACCTCGAATTCTAAATTCATTCTGTCTTTTGATTTGTCAGTAGCCGAAACAGGATGTCCACTGACCAATATAAATCCTTATATTGAAGTTCAGAGCTCAGAAGATAGAATTCTAACTTTAAGGGCAAATTTATTTATATCTGGGTAGGAATGTATAGTTTTAAAATAATCAAATTAAAATAAAATCAACAACACAATAACATTTCAGGTGATGTACATGTACTACTTTCTTGCGCACAAACTTTTGTCACTTGGCGGTAATAAGGAACGCTTAAAGACAATAGCTGATAATACGTTTGTCCTCGCGCTTGACGGTGACGTAGATTTTCAACCTGCGGCACTCAAACTTCTTGTTGATAGAATGAAAAGGAATCCGAATGTCGGCGCTGCGTGCGGAAGAATTCATCCAATCGGTTCAGGTAAGTTCAATTTGAATTTCTACCAATATTTATCATTTTAATGTATTTAGATTATAATGGATTGAATGTAATTATAGGTAGCAATTAGAGATATCATGTCCAGCTACAAGGGAGACAACTGTGTTTAAAATTATATGATATACTTGTACTGTTTATTTCCCTTTGACTCGAGTTCCCGGAACTATCAACGCCATTTAAGTATTTTCATCGAGAGCAGGTCTATTGACCTACGATTTTGTCCATTGGGATGACATGAATATAGAAAATACATGGTTGATGTCGGGATGGAGAAGGTTTATCCGGTGAGCGAGAAAGTGTATCTTGGCGAGCTTTAGTCGATTACAATATTATTGTTGATCAATTATATTTCCATCACGTGACCTACTGATCTGCGTACAGTAACAATATTATTGTTGACCGATATATCTAGCATCACGTGATCTATGGAGTTATATATCTAGCATCACGTGATCTATGGAGTTTGTGCGCAGTACATTATCCGTCGGATATGATTATATTCATTGTCGGTTTAATAACACATCAATAGCACCTTGGGACATGAAATATTGATTAAAATTGACAATGCTTTTTAAAAGTGAAGGTCGATACTTTGATCTAAAAATCATTTGTTTAAATCATAATGTAAGCAAACAACGCTCGTCAATGTCAATGAACTGTTTAATACTTTGTCCGTATCAATACGACAATAGGCAAACAGAAAAATCAGAAAGTGTTGATTCTTTTTGTTTTAAAAATCAATCAGTACTTTTAAGTTATTTACTCGACAAACTATCCGCTATAAAAGGTCCAAACAATTGATAATGGAACCTATTCAAAACGTTTTAAATTAACAGGTATCAAATTCTTTGATTTTACCTTGTTGCCCAAACATAGATAATACAATATAATTGGGTACGGAGGACGATATGGAGTAAAACAAATAATAAACAAAAAGCGAACCCATTCATAAATAATAAAAATGGCGGTAACACTTTACGAGCTTCATTTCAAGCTTCGATTAATTATAACGATAATGCATTGTATTCGTGGTGAAGCAAATGGTTCCGCTTAAAAAAAAATATTCTACGAACAATTGTTGTTGAAAACTGAATACAATGTCGAGGTGTTAAAAAACAAATGTTGTTTTACTTGAATTATTTAATACAATGATTTGGAGAAGTGGAATGTGATTACATTTTTGTGTTCTCTTCATGATCATTATAATGAGCAGTTCAATGAACTACAACATTGGCAGCATAGATCAGTTACATGCCTTAAGGGACAACATTTACATTACGGTTTATTATTTATGGACACTTTCCCGATCTAAAAATGGGACTTTTTTCAGACTTAAGTAAACTGCAAATAATATATATTCAGATAATTGAACCGAGGGAATGTTCGCAATTTCATATTTTTCATTTGGTTTTGAAAGTCATGTAAATGTATCGAAAAACTGTGGAAAATAGATTTTAAATACTACAAAGTCACATGTTAAAAATGTCACGTCCGTTTATACTAATTTGTGTGGCATTTTTTACATCTATGGAAGATGTGTCCGCGACTTCTGGAATCACAGAACATATACAATTTAATAAATGTTTACCGGTTAGCTATATGCATGTGAAGTTTGGGGCTTCATTAGAAAATTGTGAAGAAGAGTGCGTGAGACGACCAGCATGTAAATCACTGAACTATAGACGTAAAACACGTTTATGTGAACTTTTACCTATTAACTCTGGACAGTCCGTACCTTTGATCAGCTCAGCCAAGTGTGTTCATCTCGATATTCGTGTCGGTGACCAACTTTTAATACAGACAAACAGTCCGTGTTCAACGAATGATTGCCTCGAAGGTGAAACATGCAACTTACCGAACTCTCCGAACTGTTTAATCACCGAATGCCCGGATCTTACAGATGGAATAGATCATGGACATCTACTGGGTAATGTAAATACTATTGGAAGTGCCCGGATTGCTGTTTGTGAAACAGGCTATAAAATGTTTGGAAGTCCTCGTATGGAGTGTTCAGTCAACGGAAGCTGGACACACACAAGTGTTTGTGGGATACCATGCGGCGTGCCTGTAACAGTACTTAACGGTCACGTGACGAGTGCTGACATTTTCACACCGAACGCTTTATTTTCCTCGAATGATTCAAATGTGATTTTTTCACAAAAGATCTATCTGAATGGTTCTTGGATAGAGTTTTCGTGTGAAAATGAATTTTTTCTGAGAGGAACAAATATAACACAGTGTTTAAATGGAAATTGGACTAAAGTACCAAAATGCATTGTACCAGGTATTGGACAGGTCTGTGTTGACAGCTCCGAATGTACGGTGCCAGACTCCGAGTGCAGAGGCGGCACGTGCAGATGCCTGTCACAACGGAGCTATTCTTATGGCTCAAAGTCTTGTGTTTATGACTGCCAAACCTTTGCAGATACATTCCAGTATGAGATAGGGAAAAAATTAAACTTTAAAGATGACGAGTCCCATTATATGTATAACTACACAGCGTGCAAACAGAGATGTCTAGAAATCACGAGTTTCACGTGTCAATCGTTCGAGGTATCGAGCAGTTTGTGCCTGATATCAAGTAATAACGCGAACGACGGTCTTTTCCGGGATGCAGACGAGTTTATATACTACCAACGGGATTGTTTAACCTGATTCACAAATATAAATATAGATGTTGTTTTTTTGGGGTTTTTTTTTTTTCAAAGAAAAATGATGATGATAAAATAAACAAACAAACAAGATATCCGGTAGCGTGTATGTATAGTGGAACCCCATTGTATCGTGCTATTCATTGTATCGATCTATTTACAAATCTTTAGAATTTTTGCAAAATACGCCACCTACTGATTGTTTACATTAACAACAGTGTCACGAAAATCTTTCGCATTTATTTTTGTGCAGTAAAATGATCAAAAACATGTTTCCAGTACCGTAAGACGTTGTAGATAATAAATAGACTTATAAATAATGTGTTCTTATTAAAAGTACATTTACTGTCTGTTAAATGTACCTAAATTTATGCTGACATTTAAAAACAGACATCTTTGTTTCTAATTGACTGAAAAATCTAGCATAAAGATGATAAGGGCTTCCCAAACTTTGGCTAACTGAGCGATTCTCACAATGCATCGATATAATGGCGTGACCTAATTCTTCAACCTATTTCACATGTCTGTAAATATCCGTATATTCCAAAGCTAAAAACTGCATATCAATGATTTTTGCCATGTAAATGTTATGGCAAAAGGATCAAAATAAATGATACAAAATAAATATTCAGGGAGATTTGAATTTTTTTAAATGCAGTTGTGATTTATGGGTAAATAGATCGATACAACGGGGTTCCAGGCTATGTAGACATTGTATGTGTTTGTTTTATTTCTATTATAAAACTATATGTACATTTAGTATATATGTATACTGAATAAGTGAACTCGTTTATACTAGTACAAGGAATATTTGCTAATATATTCATGCATTTGTACGTTATTTAATTTACAAAAATAATCTTCGAAAAGTTATATATGTAGACATGTGTATGTGTTTGTTTTATTTTTATTATAAAACTATGTGTAGTTTATAGGTATACTGAATAAGTGAACTCGTATATACAAGGGATATTTGGTAATATATTCATGCTTTTGTACATTATTTAATTTACAAAAATAATATTCGAAAAGTTATATATGTAGACATTTCATTTTGTATGTGTTTGTTTTATTTTTATTATAAAATAATGTGTAATACTATTCGTTTACTTATTTAGTGAACTCTTATCTAAGGTAAAATTTACTATACATGTATATTTACACATATTTACGTTTTACACTGTTTATACTGTCATGTATCCTATTCTTTAACGGATGAGGCAAAACCTTTTTTGTATGCAAAGCTGTGTGCCATAATGTTGTTGTTCGAATGAGAAATTTCAAGTTATATGATGCTATGAATTCACTTAGAGTTTGAATTTATATTTTTGTCCAATAAAATTGCAGTATTTCAAATGAATCATAATACGCATTACGGCCATCTGAGAGTATATAGTGAAGTCTTGTTAGGTTATGTTATGTTCACTTTAAGTCTTGATTTATATTAAACTTGGTAAAACGAGAAAAGTTGTTTAGTGATAGATTTTCAGACCATATATAGCACTATATTTTTCTACACTTTCGGACTTTATTTTGATAGATTTTTGGCTACTATAGCATTATATTTGCCAGTTTTTCACGATAAATATAGTATTGATTTATTTTCTGACAATAGCGTACAATATTTTGATCAATTTTACACCTCTATAGAACTATTAGAGTTTTATCATTTACGGTCATTTTTGCACAAAATAGTTTTAGATAAATTGATTTTCGGGTAATATAGCACACGTATGGTGATACATTTTCGGGCAATACTGCACTGTTTGTAAATTTTTCGGCATGCATTGCAATATACATTCATAATTCTTCGGGAAATATAACACTACCTTTTTTATAAAATTTCGGCCATTTATTCACTAAATATTGACAGATTGATTAATATTAGGCAATGTAGAATTATATTTTATACATGTATACTTATAATTGGAATATTTAGAAATATTGATGACAAAAAAATCTTTTTTACCGTATTTTCACTGTAAAATAATATTTTTCACTGTTGTCTTGCCGGATTACTTTCTTCTAAATTTAACCAAAAGGGAATGAATTCTTCCTATTCATAAGTACATCATCTACAATACATTATATTCACATATATTTTAGCTACATGAAAATTTACAAACAAAGTCTGGATATCACATTTTACGTATTCAATAGTTTCATAATAAAATATAAGTAGATAAACTAATAAACAAACATAAGGTTAAAAAACATACAAAGTATTTAATAAACAGAATATTCTTTTCTTTTCTTTTTTACAAAAACAGGTTTTTTCTCATCGAGTGGTATGAAACTTAATATTTCACGAGTGACAACATACAGAAATACAGGATTTATTTTCATCTTGTGGTATGAACATTATCATATTTCACTTGTGGCTAAATATGCCACTCGCCAAATGTTTATTTTCATTCCACTCGATGAAAATAGATCATGTGTTTATAGAAGAAACTTGAATACCTTCCATATATTGATATTGTTTAGCTCTATTTGTTGATATATTTCCGGCGATTGTTGCACTGAATATTGAAAGCTACTAGAAGATTGATTTTCGTGCAATAAAGCACTCAATTTTTGATAAAATTTTGGGCAGAATGGCATTTAAAATGAAGACTATTTTGATAAATTTACGGGCAAAATAACACTGTTATTTGATTAATTTCTAGGCAGTGGAGTACTATATTTTTTCTGTATTTCTATTAACTACATCCATGTGTTATGTACTGAATTTAGCTATGTTTGTCTTAAATGTTGTAAACTTTTGGGGCTACATGCTTTGCTAGTAATCATACTCATACTCTAAAGTGCATTGATTTTATCATAACTGTAATAATGAAATACTTGTGAAATAAAGTATATCTTAATTAAGTTATTGTGTCCATATACAATCAGTCCAAGATCGTGATCGTAACTGTGCAGCATATGCATCAGAAATAAAAACATTTTCCACATCTCTAAACTAAACTACAATATTTACCTCCCTTGCCAAAAGTGTCAGCCATTTTGACGCTCAATATTCTATATAATAAATATAAATTCCAAGTTGTGATTATCCTTGAAATCTTTTCTACGGTCATTCGCACTGTACCTCTGCTCTGGTATGTACAGAACTTTAAGCTCCTTGCGAAATTGAAGGCAACTAGTACTGATAAACTGCTTGACAGCTAGTCTGTCCAGTACATATCTGCCGGCTGAACTTTGCTGTGGCTTACTGCCGTGTTCCGGGGTGAAAACTACCAACACCACCATTAATACTCATTAAGCATGAACATTTGACAAAAACAATGTCCGCTGGTATAAATTTACTAGGTAGGAAAGCGAAAGACTTGTCAATTTATAATAAAATTTGTTACTGCATACTTGAGGTATAAGTTTTAGAGCATTAAATAGTTCATGTGTAATACAATACATCAATCTGTAAAGGGAGGTTATCACTGTGAGGAGTTTGAGTAAAATACTGTAAATGTGGAATTGTCTCCCATGTTTGCTATGATTTTATGTCTAAGGTTGACATGTATTTTCAAATAACCAAAAAAGAAAATTGCACTTGTCATAAATTGCGAATTCAGCCTAGTTACAAGTGTACTGTATTATTTGTGTCAATTTTATTTTTCATAACATTTAACTTCCCAGGCACATGCCGTTATATACCTATGTTTTAGTGCCTTTTAAGCTTTTATATTAATTCAATAACTGGAAAAAGTCATTTAATAATACAAATTTGACGATATTTTGAAATTTAAATGTCAACTTTTTTTTCTATTATATTAACATTAGGTCCTATGGTTTGGTATCAGAAGTTTGAATACGCAGTAAGTCATTGGTTACAGAAGGCAACTGAGCACACAATCGGCTGTGTACTCTGCAGCCCTGGGTGTTTCAGCTTGTTCCGAGGCTCGTCGCTGATGGACGACAACGTGATGAGGCGTTATACAACTCCGCCAACCGAGGCCAGACACTATGTCCAGTACGATCAAGGTAATCTTTGTTACAGAGCACAGAGAGCTTTACATTTGATTTGGGAAGATACTATGACGTCATATACTTAAAATGTTTAATGGGTATTTCATATCCGGCAAGTTCACACTTTTCGCGAGATTTTACGAGACCATGTTTGACAAGAGAAAATTTATCGATATGTACGCCGCCATGTTATCTAAAATTTGTTATGTTATTCTTTCCAAAAAAGGCTCCAAAAATGTTTTTAAAAAAGAAATTAAGAAGATATAAATTATTCTCAGAAATGGGTGAAAATGTAAACATTTATTTACGTAAAACAAGATGGCAAAAATTGATCAAGTGCAAGGGCCAATGAATTTCACGCAAGGGATTGTGGGTAAAGCTTGGAAAATTTTCCATTTTTAGAGCTTCTTATCGGCATGTTATACAAGTCTCTGGTATAAGCGTTCCGAAATTGGTAATAAAAATATTACATTGTATATATATCCCAAGCTCCATTTTCTCCCCCTATTTATATCGCAGATTCCTTTTTATATCAAGGGGGACGGTGACTCTCAACATTACAAGTTTGAGCCCTATTTGAATTCCTCATACTGACACTAATACTGGTTACCTCCAGGACGCGGACCTTATAAAGATTTGATTACTAAAAAGTCGCAAAAATTTGTTTCCTATATATCCATAAGCATTAATCAAAGGTAAAAAATATTTAAAAGATAAATAACTTTGAAACATCAAAAGTGTTAAGCTTTTCCGCTAATGCAAAAAAAAATGGATCGATAGCAACTTATATTATACCTAGGACTTAAAATGTCTTCAATTCCCAGATTATATAAGTGTCCGTTTTCAGTTCTAACTAATTTTATTACCAGGTGAAGATCGATGGCTGTGCACACTACTTTTACAGCAAGGCTACCGGGTAGAATACTGTGCGGCGTCCGACGCTCTGACCTATGCCCCTGAAGGTAAGACATTAACGACGATGTTTTATGAATATGTGTGTATATATATATATATATATATATATATATATATATATATATATATATATATATATATATATATATATATATATATATATATATAATATATATATATATATATATATATATATATAATATATATATATATATATATCTTTTTTAGCACTATAATTATTGTTATAGAGTCTCAGCTTAAAAATTGACAAAACAATATTAATTCATTGTTTTTTATCTTCACTTGTTGTTCTATCAAGGAATAATTAATTCAATGTATTTTAAATCAGTATCTATTATTTATTTATTGTTTAGGCCCCTCTTTAAATCCAAATTACATGTTTTCCAATTTGTGTAAAGATGCTCAAATATTTATTACAAATTTTAAAGTTTATTATGTAATTTTATAGGCTTTTACGAATTCTACAATCAAAGACGACGATGGACACCTTCCACGATGGCCAATATCCTTGACCTGCTGATGGACTTTAAGAATGTCACAAAACGGAACAACGACATCTCTATGCTGTACATCATGTATCAGATGTTACTAATGGTATCTTCTATACTGACACCGGGTACCATTTTCCTCATGGTCCTTGGGGCGCTTAACATGGCATATCCGACTTTATCTTTATACTGGGCGCTTGCTATCAATCTACTTCCGGTTGGCATCTTTATTTTGCTTTGTTACGTAGCCAAAGGTGATACACAGGTAAGAGTCGTTGATAATCGATTCGTAAATGATAAATCTCTTTGGAAAAATGACAATCTCACCGTTTCGTTTCAGTCAAATGAAATATATACCAGTTAGTTGAAATACCGCTCCATATAGCGAGTTCTTGTGCGTTGGCTTCCCCAAACAAAACCAACAGTTTGATCCTGAACATGCTGAAGGGACAGACGAAACGTTCAAATCAGATTTTGTAGGCCGCATTGCAACAGTATGGTGCTTTGCAAATGTATTTCTATGCCAATCCCGCTTATGACTTCTGATCATTGTGAATGAAATTTCATGTTTTATTAAACATTAAAAGAAATTAGAATTATATTTCCAAAAAGATATATAGGTTAACCAACTTTAATGTGAACCACACAATTTTATATAATAATTTGTGATATAAAAAGAAATTATCAGAGAATTAATTGATTAATGCTTTAACATATGATATTGTCGTAACAGCTAGCGTATGCCGCTGTTCTATCTACTGTCTACTCCCTCGTGATGATGCTCGTTATTGTTGGATTGCTGAAGCAGGCTGCAGATAACGGTTTCTGTTCTGTAACGACACTGTTTCTTTGCTTTGTTGCCGGGGTGTTTATCCTTGCCGCCTTTATTCACCCTCAGGTAAGTTTGCTTATTTCATGCACAAAATACTTTAAATTTTCCGATTGATATGTTTCAACAGTGAGTAAGTGAGTGAGGGGGTGAGTGTGCTGAGCGGTGCTGAGCGGTGCTGATTTCAGCTGAATGAACGAGTTTTGTATAGAAGCGTGTTGTTTATTATAATTTCTGTTCTCAAAAGTTGACGTTCTCCTTAAACTATGTATTTTCAATATCCTTTTCTAATTCTAACGAACACAAGTCAACCAATTGCCGTCAAACAAATAGAAGGAAATTATATGTGTTGAAAATTATTTTATTATTTGTAGGAGTTTTGGTGCCTCCTTCATGGTTTCCTGTATTTTCTTGCTATCCCGTCAATGTCCATGCTCCTCATGCTGTATTCCATTGGTAATTTACACGTGGTCTCGTGGGGAACCAGAGAAACACCGAAACCTGCTGCAGGTACTCTATATGTTACGTCATTTCCGGTTTGCTTAAATTGATGGACGATAATTCGGCATTTGTGAAATAAACTAAAATTGTTTAAAAAAATCCCCTTTGACTTATAATGTTAATTATTATATTCACATCAGCAGGTTTTGAATAAGATATTTATGTTTTTAATGTTCATAAATTTGTGAAGGTGTTAAGTGATAGAATAACATTTGCATACGCATCTCACCTGATCTTCATTACTCCATTAATAACAGCAGTACTTTTCAACCAGACAGACACAAGTAGCATGCATAGTAAATATAATTTAATATCTTTATATATATTTCAAAAAAAGTCATTTGAGTAAATTTCCAGGTAATGTACGTAGATTTACTTGTATATGTGTAAAACTTTAATGAGAATAAATATGAATATATAACAGCACCTAAACCCGGGGAAGTGAAGAAACAACCGGAGAAAAAGGGTGCAGTTCAAGAGTGGCTACAGAAATTAGGTCTAGCAGAAAAGGCGGGAAAATCAGACTACATGTTTTCATTCGGAAATCTTTGCAGGTAAGTTTTGCACTACAATTTTAATTATTAACTAATAATATAAAAACGTGCATAATTGTAGATCCTTAAACCACAGGGAAGAATTATTTAAATCTAACTAAGAACATACAATTGTTACGCAAAATAACGTACTAAAAAATAAACAGAAATACATGTAATTTCAAACCATACCTAAAACACATTCTATAAATAGAAACATTCTTATTGGCCATGTTTTTAAACCAATCAAAATGCTTTGTTCTCATAAAGGCCATGTTTTGCTTTCATTATCGGCCCTTTTCCTCTCATTATTAGCGCTGGAATTGTCATATTTGTCGTAGAATATATTGGCTTCAAACTTCTATTAAAGGCCGGACAGAAAAGCAGATACAATATCCAATATTATAGATAGTTAGATAATATTTATATGTACAAATATGTAAAAATGTCTTGATTGATGAAGCGGTTATTGTTTATGGTAAGAGTGAATGTATTATGGTAAGAGTGAATGTATATATACTATGTTGGAACCCATGGTTACGGATTCATTTCACAATATACATCTAAAGTGTATGGGTGGTATAATACTGTTGTAAAACTTAAAGAACTAAATGTGATTACAGATTTAAAGTGTCTAAGTTTTCAAGAGAAGAGAGTATTGACACGTTTTCTTATCATACGTTGAACCGTTTAGAACTTATAGAATAATGTTTTACTAAATACAAGGTGTGTCTGCTGCCCCTCTGAAACCAAGGATACGGAGGACATAAAACTGAGGGCGATACTTGACCGTCTGGATGACATGGAGGCTAGAATCATAGACTCGCCAGAGAGCCATCAATCCACCGAGCTCGAATCTGAACGTCACGTGCACTTTTCGGAAGCCTCGGATTTGTTCGAAGGATCTAGAGAAAGGAGTAGGATATTATTATTATCGTTTGTAGATATTTTAGCTGCGTCACGACAAAACCAACATAGTGCGTTTGCGACCAGCATGGATCCATGCTGTTCGCTTACCAACCCTATTACAAGTAGAGAAACTGATAGCGAACAGCATGGATCCTGATCAGACTGCGCGGATGCGCAGCTTGGTCTGGATCCATGCTGGTCGCAAACGCAATATGTTGGTTTTGCCGTGACGCGGCTCATTTGTTGATATATGGTTTTAAATTATAAAAAAAAAATGTTCATGAATGTTAAAATCACAAATTACATGGCATAAATGAATAATATAAACTTTAAGACATATTCAAATAATTATACTGCTTAATTGTTTAATTTTAGATTCATATTAATATGCCATTTTATGAGAATAATAATGATTTGTTTCAGGATATAATACACTTTCTTTGTTTTGGAAAATGTTTTCCATTTTCTAGAGTATTTTGTACAATTATCCTTAACTTCATGTAGACACTATCTGCACAAGTTTAACTTCTTCCTATTAACCATATACATTTTGTTTTTAGTTATATAAGTATTATGCAATATTACACATGTAACTTTTATATTATAATTATATCCAGTTGTTTAAGTAATACATATAGTAATATATTATAGATAATACCTTTGGATTATATCATTTGTACAGCTATATATTAATCTGTTATTAGTGATATACGTATATGGAACACTTTATACATGTATTTTAAAAGGTTACTACAAATTGTATAAATATGGAATGAAAACTGCTATGAAATTCATTTGATATATGAAATTTATTGACCATTATGATATTTTTATAAATATTACTTACTATAATCTAATGAAATTATTAATAAATAATCATTATATTTAGTATTAGTATACTCCGTAATGTAGAAATTAATTATAAGCATGAATATATACTCTATATATTTAAAATAATATGAGAATTTTATATACATCGTAATTTGTTGAATATATTCATTTATTTCACACTTTACCAATGAACTTCCAGCATTTGAACCACGTGATGTTCCAAGAAATCTTAATTGGATTCAATCTTATCCATTTAACTCTGTTTTTCTATTCCCCAAGTCCAGAATTTGTATCAATGGCATATTGTATTTTATCTTGCCCGTTTTCACTTTCCAAATCCAAACATATCCGTATCAATTCCATGATGTAATACATGTATATATACGTATGTGCTCGTTATTATGCGAGTCCAAAAACGTTCCAAATCAAATCCATATTTTAATCGAACAGTTATACAATTCACACATACTGTTGATTTTGAGACCCTTTTTTAATTAAGTGTGTTTCTCTATTGTGGTGTGAAATAAAGATTTCTTTATACATTTGTATATTGTTGAGTACCAATTATATTGATTTTGTTTTACTTTCTGAAAAATGTACCCTGGACTCGAGTATCGCCTTTTTCACTTTAGATTTTATAGACATGTTTTCGTCCAATAAAATTCAGAATTGTACTTAACAATTAATAATAACTTAATAATACCTAGAAAACTAGAGCAGCCAGTCAGCAATAAATTGTGTATAGCATGCCGCATGTTCTATATATACATGTATATACCCATTTATATCCTCCCTCTTTTGTTCTTTTTCTCCCAAACCCCAAACTTCACAGTCAACCCTCTATTTGAAGAGGAATCCACGTCCAATAAACCTCCGCCTCGACATTGGATCAATGACAAAGAGTTGATGATGGGCGCCGTTGAGACGATACCGGAAAAGGAAACGACATTCTGGCATGAACTTATCAAGACTTACCTATATCCGCTAGAGGGCGACAAGAAAGAACAGGAAAAGACCCAAGCGGAATTACTTGAACTTAGGTTTGAATATCACATTTTTAAAGAGTTGTTTTACTAATAGACATATGCGTTCGATACATTTTACCGCCTCCGTGGTCGAGGGGTTAGAGTCGATGACTTCTAATCCACTTACCTCTCTGGCGTGGGTTCGATCCCCGGGAGATGCTTTGGTAGTTTAGCGCGGAGGAAGGTTGTCTAGTACTGGTGTAACTCTCCAGGAACGATAGTTAGGAAACTACCCGCCTATATGACTGAAATGCAGTTGGAAAATGACGTAAAAAGAAACAAACAAACAAAACAAAACCAATCATAATATTAACTTGTGGTAGTTTACATGATGCACAAAAAAACTGAAGCCATTGTCATAATCGACACACATGTACTAAATCCCCATACAAACAATCTCCCTCATACCGCATGTTAAGACATTATTTTTTGTATGGTTTATTATGAACATCACGCTGGATGTCTTTTTACTCAGCTATCATAAATTTGGTCGTAAAAGTAGATTCGGAAGTAAATGATCTGTAAAAGAATGCACTACCTTTGTAAATGTGTATTTTGCGTGTTTTCTGCTTATGGTGAAATGTCCTGCCTGATTTACATCGTCTTTTAATTACTGGAATGTGAGCTAAACATTTGTATGCAGATGTTTTTTGTTTGTTTTTTTAGAAATACAGTTTGCTTGTTTTTCCTTCTTGTGAACGCATTGTTTGTGGTAATTGTGTTCAGTCTACAACAAGTGAACGCTGACTCGGGCGGCTCAATCTCTATCGAGTTACCTTGTGCTAATGGGAACTTTGGGGAAGCAATCGAGCCAATCAGCATGGCTTTTACAGCCGTCTTTGGGCTTCTTTTGGTTTGTAGATCTTTTATTAAGTTGTAGTGAATTATAATCAACTTTTAGGAGGTACATTGCTTTTATCTGTTTGTAAAGATATGAAAAGCGATCACTTTATCAAATTAGTATATAACACATGCAATTACTAAGGATGCACCTTTAATGTGATCTTTTTACTTACCTGTATTAGTCCGCCATGTAAAGGGACGAACGATGTGTTTCTTGCTAATGCGCTCAATCCAATATCCAAGAACACTGCTTGAATATCTTTACAATTCTGCACGTTTGTAACGTTATTTTCCAATGGATAATTGTGATGCTTCTATTATTAGTTATAAAGATTGTTGACAGGTTATATGGCCCTATATAAACGTCTATTTGTAAATATAACCGGAGCGAGGGTTATATTGCAAACAGCCGTTTATATACGGCCATATAACCTTTCAGCAATCTTTATAACGAATTCATAATACAGTAAGCATCATTTTGTAGAGAAAAAAGTAAGATGTCTTTATGAATCGACAACAGCCGTGTATATAAAACTTTATAATACTGCACATTTGTAACATCGCTTTTCATTGGATAAATGCTAAAAGGTTTATTCTCTTCTATTTTCGTAAATTTAGAATACTTTTCGTCTCGTTTAACATCATTATATGTGGTGGTTGGTCCATCTATCCGATTCTGATAAAGGTTTGAATGATTTATCAGTGCGTGGTCCGCGAGCTCACATTTTCTCCAGCAAAAAGGCGAATGTATTAAATATAATCAATGCCGTAAAATGAAACTTTATAAGATAAATACAAGGTAGTCTAACTAGACAAAACTTTTTTGATGTATTAGGTTAAGACGCGAACATATTAACATTACGCGAGGGGTAGTTGCCTAAGTTATATACTACAGTATAGAATACTGTATGTAAGTTTCGACCATATATTTTTATGTTTTAAATTTTTGAGTCAGTGCACAGCCATTGTATAAAGTGTACAAAACTTATTTTAAGTGTTTATTTTAAAAGTGGCCCTAATAAGTGGCCGTGAAACGGTGCTATTAAGAAGTTTATTTATTTATTTATTTATTTTGTAATTTTATTGCCATATTAATTTTAATTGAATAATTTCTTAAATAGGCTGTGCACTAGACTATTTTTACCATACAGTCTCATGGTTATTTTCAAAATTGGGAGGTGCTGGCTACAGATTACCCATAATGTCAAAAAAGACTCCATATTGTATATATCCCTTTGCCCCCCGCCCCGTGTTATTTATTATCTATCTTTTTTATTCCTGTATATATAAACTAGTATCCTTAATACTAGTAAACGTGAACCCGTGCCCCCATATGGAGAAATACGTTTATCACGGGTTCACTCAAGCATGAGATTTTCTTAAATATGTTACAAAAAGACTATCTCATCACATTATGGGTAACCAAGTTATTATTATTAGCCATATTTGGGACTTAGATTTTTTCTTATTCTTCTATGAATTGTTTAAGTAATAGAAGATTAATTATTATGTGTGATATCTAGATGCATAATAATTTATAGACCATGAGACAGTGATAAATAGATAAGGCCGTTACCACCACATTTTAATTATCATATTTGTTTTAATTTAGAAATAAAGTTGGTAAAAACTCGTATACATTGGAATGCAACGGGCACCCGCAAAATTTCTATCCAGTCCGCGCGACAAACTTGTCGAAATAGGTCAACAGAAAAACTTGCAGAACTTTCAAGAAAATCGGATTGACCTCCTTATTTAGAAAGAAGAAATTTTAGACCAATGAGAACAAAGGAGGCAATCCTCTCTAAACCAATCAAAATTAACTTTATAAAGCGGGTGTTCGGTAGAACCTACAAAATTTAAAACAAACTCTGCTAATTACAAACATGTAATTAATTATATGCATCCCAATGTATACGGTTTATAACATTTAAATAGAAACCAACATAAATAACAGTCAGCCCACAATGAATTGGTCAGAAAACGTTCCTGACATGCCTTCTTCGCAAGTATGCGAACTCTAGAATTATAGGTAATATTTTAAATTGTTTTAGTTATATTAAATAGACCTGTAATAAAAGACGGTAACTTATATAAACGTCTGGCCAATTTTAAATTAAGTGCTTTTTAATTATAAATTTTAGATTTCTCAAACTTAGTATGGGATTGCCCCATCTTCCTCCCATAGCAGAGGTTGTACGTAGAGACTACCCTGTCATGGGGGATATGGTATGCACATAAACACATGTACGGATATAACAATTAGTAATTAAACATCAGCTCCCCCTTTTTAAAAGGTTATAAATGAAGTATATGCTCGCCCATATGGTCTCTTTCCGGTGGCGAGGGTAAACAAACCCAAACACACACTGCTGTCAATTTATGAAGAATGCTTACTTTTTTCTCTTAAAAATGACGCTTGCTGTATTATAAATTCGTTATAAATATTTCTGACAGGTTATATACACATAAAACTACACATCTATGCGGACAGTAGCACTTTTGTTAATATTAATATACAGTGTACATTTTGTATTATTAACAACAAGATTCTTTACGGTGAATACTGGGCTATGAAAATAGGTCGGAAAACGTTTCATATAACGAATTTACAAATTTACCACTACGCATTTTTATTTGGGAAGAACATTACTGACCGTATATAGGCATTATTATATAAGCGGTACAAATTATATAGTTATTAACCGTTTTATACATATATATTCAGTATACATGTATATCTTTAATTTGCGTATACAATCACTCTAATTGATTATTTATTATAAACTGAACTTACTTTGTTTTCTGTCTAAAAAAATTTACATATTGATTTGGAAGTTCAAATATACATGTTTCCTTTGATCTTTACCACAGCTGATTCAGCTCTTCTGTATGATTCTACATCGGATGTCCACGTTCCTACAGATCTGCTCCATCACGGAAATCAAACTCAGGCGTCCAAAACAACTTCAAGCTGAAGAAAAAGAAATAAGTGTTGAGAAGGGCCTGAGACTTGTCCGAGATATGCAGGTGAATTTATAAAGATTTTAATAATTATGATCATTTCATTCGAGATATAAAATACCGCCTCCGTGGTCGAGGGGTTAGAGTCGATGACTTCTAATCCAGTTACCTCTCTGGCGTGGGTTCAATCCTTGTAAAAGGGCGTAAAATGAAACAAACAAACGAGATATAAGCATCGTCTCCAAAGTAAGTGTTATTCCGAACTCAGCTGCCAACGTAATTTAGATTGACAGCATCGTCATTTTTCAATGTTTTTGACATTGTTAATTGGTTCATCAATAATTGATTTTACTATTTTGTCAATATCCGTTTCAATTCTAATTTCGATTGCGGTTTCAGGATAGATGACAATAATTTGTATAGCTTTATGCTGATCTAATTAGGATTTTAAGTTTACCAAAAACAATCGTTCATTTAGGGATATTTTGCAGTGCTTTATTAATAGCGCTACATTCTATCACTTGTAACATTCAATATATATTATGTTTGTTTGGTTGGTTGGTTTTACGGCGCACAAAGGTCAAATGGCGCCGAAACAGGATTTTTGGTTAATCTCGGGAGTAACAAACTTCAAAACCACCTCACCTGCTGGAGCTAAAAGTTCATCCAGTTATTCGAACCTATTAAGTCTCTTACGATCACGCAGAGAAAAACGATGGCTAATATCTTATGCCTCAACCCCAGGGATTCGGCAGAGTGTTGGAGTAGTGTAAAAAAGTAATTCTAGAAAAGATATGTTGTATATATAATTATATAAACAGTATATAGTTTTTTCTAGAATTACTTTTTTTACACAATCCCAACACTGTGCCGAGTCCATATGGCCTCAACCATAAAAGGCAACCTCTTAGCTGCAAGGGGCATACGAGGGTTGTCCAAAAAATTCGTGCACTGCAGTTATTGTCGTGTGAGTTATTGATAGAAAAACATTAATTATATATCACTTGAAGGGGAGATATATCTTAAATAAGAAAACAAAAGAAAAAAACATGTAACCGGCATGTCCTGAAAACGAATCGTCATACAGTTACCTTGGTAACGTAATACCGGCGCACGACAAAAAATTGGGTTAGTTCATTACTTTGATGCATCACGGTATTCTTTAAACACTACATATTAACGTTAAAATTCAGGGAAAAGTGTGTGTACGTATTCCTAACGTCACTAGAAAATATGGCGTCATTTGCCCTATTGTAACAGTCGTAAACAAACATTTGTGTGCGGTCGTCAATACTGTAATTACGTGAAAATGTCAGTCGCTAAACGTCTGGAAATTCGGACGATCATTAAATTTGGTGCAAATATTGGTAAATCACCAACAGATACCTACAAAGAACGTAAAAGGGCAAGCGGGACAAGTTCAGTGTCACGAAGGCTGGTTTTTAAATGGCACAAACGCTCTGTGGAAGAGAAAGAGAGTCGGTAGACGATGACAACCAGTCAGGCAGACGTCCGTCCGTAATGCCGGCGCTTGTGACGAGGGTTGTCCAATATATTCCTGCACTGGTAGAATATGCTACATGTACGTTGCATAAAAAACAATAAAAACTACACAATACTTTTCATCAATCATTCCTCTATTGACAGTAAAACAAATTATAACATAAAAAGCAAATACCACTTTATATTTACAAGCAAAAAACAATACATTTACAGTAATGAACTAACCCAATTTTTTGTCTTGCGCCGGTATTACGTTACTAAGGTAACTCAATGACCATTCTTTTACACGACACGCCGGTTACTCGGCTTTTTCTTTTGTTTTCTTATTTAAGACAGATTTCTCTTTCAAGTGATATATAATTCATTTTTTTTTATTAATAACTCTCATGACAATAACTGCAGTGCACGAATGTTTTGGACAACCCTCGTATATACATCATGAAATGTACATTAGTAATGCACATCATGAAAAATCGTTCAAAATACTCGTGATTTTTTTCAGGGTATTAAAGACGATGACACTAAATCTGTAGTATCAGAGGATCTGAGTATTTCCGATGACAGGTCTTCAGTTGGAACAGTAGAGGGTGAAGGCAAAAGAGACTTGTGGAAGAAAATTGCAAATAGACGTAGAGAGCAAAAGTTTGGAACATTGAGTCAAAACTTTGTTAAGAATTTCAAGTAAGTTTTAATTTTTTTATCTCTTTAGGGGTGATAAGTGAAAACGTTTTAAATAATTCAAGGTGTATATGAAAAAAATTCAAGAAACTATAACAATCATATTTGAATATACAAAGATATACTATACTCAAATTTGGTATTAGAAAACATCGGTAATTACTACACAGTCTCTTTGTAAATATAAAACAAAATAAAATAAACATGTTTTGATTTCACACAAAATAGAAAGGTTATGTTTAAACGGTACAGACTTTAGGTGGACACAATATGAATATATAGTTTTGTTGTATTTTTTGTTTTTTGTTTGCTTGTAATTTTTGTTGTTATTTTTGTGTTTAATTATTTTTTTTATCTTTTTAAGATAAGAAAAAAAACATTACGTGACCTGCAATAAGGAACGCAGCTACCTATACATAGTTTATTCGTCTTTTTATTTAAACTAGATATATTCAGTAAGAAGTTCATGGATTTTAATAAATTTCTCCGACTAAAATATTTTACTCAAGAATGAGCATAGTAAATCTTTAAGAGTAAAATAGTTAAATTAGGATTCTTCATTGTTTGAAAGGAAACCTATAAAATAAATAATTGGCTTTCTGGTGTACAAATAACTGAATTTCTGGATTTGAATAATAATTTAAGGAAACTTCAAAGACATATGGAAGATCAAGAGATGGGATCAACGCTGCATGTCAATAGAGGCGTGGGTAGTGTTAATAACGGAGGTCTTGGTACTGTAACAGAAGAAGACGATCAGGAAGATGTGCAACAACTGAAAAGTGTGAAGCGGAAATTCAATCGATTTGAAAGAAAGAGTATCTTTACGATTGTTCAAATGTCACGTGACCCAAGGTAAGAACGTGCCAATGTGTATGCAAAGCCATGTTATGGTTTGTTTTGTTTTTCCGACAAAATTTATAAATTTTAGACAATTTTCGACACAAAATGAATTCGATCAATTGCCAATTCTATCAAATGTCGGATTTGACTTACTGTTATATTTCGGCGAAATGTCATTCAAGCTTTTTTAATTAGTACTGGTCTGTGAAAATATAAATGTTCCTTTAAATGGTAAATAAAGAGAATGAAATTATTTTTCTTTTTTACATTTGATAATTCATATATAAAATGTTGATTAAACTATGGATATTTCTTTTGATGTCTTTAACACTGCCGCTTTGCAAACCTGTTTTACATTTAAGTGAACAATTGTTTGAGCTATTTACAAAGTGTTTTCTAATATTTAAATTTAATAAAAATTACAAATTTAAACTATATCATTATTAAGCATTGTTTCTTCGCTTTATTAACAGGTTAAAGCAATCAATTCTACAACGTGGTAATGTTGTAACAAGTCGCTGGCGACGTGCTGCATTAAAAGCTAAGCTACGAGCAGCGGCAGAGCAGGCAGCAAACAACGGAAACAAAGATACTTCAGACGGCAAACCAAAAACAAAAGTTTCCATTCTAGATATAACGCGACTTGCTGTGGCTGACAGGGACAGTAATGTTCCATCACCTTCTGAATCTGATGATGAGCTAGTTGATCAGAAAAGTAGACTGTGATATTTAATAGTACCTCAGTGCTGAATGTAACCTAAGCAAATACTGTGATCTTAATATATATTGTGTTTCCCAGTACAGTTTGTAATCTTAGTATATACGTAGTATATGCTGTATCATCAGTCTAGTTTGCGACCTCAGTATAGATAACTTTATATGTATAAATTTATTTCAAGGAACTTCAATGAGGTCTAAAAGCCTGAAAACATAAAATGTGAATTTCTTACACACATCAGTTTTGGCAATTAACACAGAACAATATGCAAAAGATGATTTTAACATATATGCAGACAGTATGTTTTACTATTCTAACTCCTATTTGGGTTAAAAGCACAGCAACGCTTTTCAATTATGGGTATCTTTATTACAATTAGAATTCTGATAAATCGGAAGAAGTAAATGATCTTAAATTTTACACAGAATTTAAGCTATTTGTCAAGACCTTACTAAAATGGAACAATAATTTCGAAAATTTATTTCAAGTCCCATCATGTAATTTAAAACAACCTTAGTGGAGCCCCTTTACAAGTACAATGATATGTAACTAAATATGCAGTATTGAACCCACTCTCAATTAATATGCATTATCTCTAAAATAATATCACAGAACTGGTGACATGTAATGATGTATTCAACAATAGATTGGTCGTATCTGTTAATGTATGCTAAGTATAACTAGTAACATATTTATCTAAGATCAACGCAGCACATCAATAGAGGCGTGGGTGGAGGTCTCTGTAATAGAAGAAGACATCATTATAAAATTATATAAATAAACTGAGAAGACAAAAAAAATCACTGACTTGAAAGGAAACATATCAGAATGAGTGCATAAATGCTATATTCCATTTTTAATTATTGTATAATATCATTTTATTATATTCATTTCATAGTCTATTTTTTATATGTTTAAAACTTTTATATACACTAATATTGTTAAAATGAAATTCATTATTACATGTAATTTCATATAATTAATAAACATCATGTAGCGTAAAGTTTACTTATTTATTGACATGGATTAATTTGAAACATAATCACATAAAAATTGTTTTTTAATTTTAACGAAATGTAGAAACATTAACATCATAATTAGAAATGTCTTTTAGTAAAAGTGTGTTTGTTTTTTTTGTGGAAGACACAAGTAAATAGAGGTGTGTAACCGATATAGTTTTTATACTTTTCTACTGAAAATGTTCAAAAAAACACATTCACATTTGTGACAAAATATCTTACTGAAAATGATAAGTTTAATAATTTAATCGGATATTGATTAAAATTGATTAAGAAAAGTGAAACATTTCAAGTCTTGTTTTAAGAATACCCCCAACATGTAAGTTCATGTTTATTTTGATATTATAATTAAATAAGTATTGAACTCCCGCTCGCTGTCTCACATCTATCCCCCTACCAAAAAAGATTGCCCACTGATGCTTGTATTTCAATGTGTGTTTGTTTGATATCATGCTGAGTATATAGATAACAAAGATATAAATATCAAAATGTTTTCTTTGCATTCACTAAAATACAATGGGGTTCATATATTTGATATTAAAAATCTGTTAAACAGTCTACTGAATGCACCTATCTTGTACGTTGATATACTCAAAAGGAGCGCGGTATTTCAAATGAACTCAAACAGAGTCTGCAATTTTCATGTAATTTTGTTGTGATTAATGCTTCCGATGAATCCTTTTGTTTCCTGATTTTTATCTATTTACTATGGTCATTCGGCTTATATTTCATCTAGCAGCTTATTTAAGACTCCTTCTACATCCATGATTTAAATTTGCAAAAATGACTGCACAGATTTTCCAAATTATGTCAATAATTGTTGGATACCGAAGGTGAATATCATTTTATTGTATATATAAAATGCTAACCATAATTAAAGAATTCAGTTTACAAACGCCATTGTTATCATGGAGCTAGTGAATATACAATTTCTTTCAAGCTAAATTCATTAATTCACAAACAATTTTCTTAAAATACTCTTCAATGTACATGATAATGGTCACAATATCAGTTATTTAACTTATTTTAAACACGATTTTAATTCAATATCAACACAGAATATAGACCGGCTTGACAAATGGTTATCAGGGCTGTATGTCCATTTTCATCTGTTTCTGCCTCAGAAATAGTTAGTTGACCCAATTCAAAAAATCATCTGACATCTATCTATATGGGCAGATAAAAAGAAATCACGATTCTTAACCACCTGTTTTCCGATTTCACTTAATATGTCAATATTTGTCAACTGAATTTGTGATCTATTACATTGGCTAGTCTGCTATAAAAATTTACACTCGGATAGGTTACGATAGACTTTGTTAAGTGAATTAATGATTGTACTAAAATTTTTCAATATAAACAAACAAAAAAAACAAAACGCATCACTTGATAAAGTATTTGACACTCCGGCATCTGTAGGCCTTGTTTCACGGGTATTCGTCATTTTCCTCCAAGCAAAACCGTAAAGAAATCGAGCCAAGGGATAGCCCACTGATGGGTCTTGAAAATTGGTGCCCTTTTACTAAAGTTCGTAGAAATCGTTAAATTCGCTTATACATAAATGACACAACTCCTCACTGGTGGGCATCTGGCACTTACACTTCTTTTGATATCGCCATGTGTCTTATATTGACATAACGGGGTGCCTCTAAGCAATTGCATGTACTAAGTTGAGCCAATACTATTCTGCTATCGTCGTGTGTTTTAAATCGACATACATGTATATAACCGGCACCCTGCACGTACTGGTTAATTTGCATAATAATTGGATCAACGGGGATTTCAGGGTGGGCTCTTTAATGTGATAAATTTCACGGAATCAAAATTCGTAGTTTTTGTTTTTTGTTTTACATTAAAACAAATCAAAGCACCTGAATAAGACGATGCCATGCGGGCATCTTGCGACCATATTGTTTGAGTTATCATCATATGTAGGATGGGCTATGGAAAGTGGTGCTTTTTATATGAAACATAATGTCCCTGTCATGCAGACTTATCAGGGTCATGTTTAATAGGCTCTCGTTTTGCACCTCATATCACCTTAATGGGTGGCTCCAACCTGCAACACAATGAGGCGAACCTGTAGTCTCAGTGGGCACTTGAAATTAATTAGGTACGATAATTCGTATATATAGTTAATGTACTGGATAAAGCCGAAGTGACGCAAGCATCTGGCCGTCATGTTTCTTAAGCTATCGCCACATGCCTTATCTTATATTAAACATAACGGGAAACATCCAAGCTATTGCGCATTGGCGAATTAGCAAAGAACTCGAACCAAGGTTTGCATCATACATATTAATGGCCTGAAGAAAACCATATTATTCTAGTTAGGGTTTGTAACGACGCTAACTGTTGTTTAACACTTGTGTAAATAATCATGGCGCTTACTATAAGCATGTAAATCTATAAAGAATAAAACAATATTAGAAATCTTCGACTATTCGGGAATTATTTTGCTTGAAAATAAATTAATCCGCCTGTCATGTGACCATATTTACGCAGTGATCTCCCCTAAATTTTTCGGCCTAAGTGTTACATATAAAGGGAAGTAACCGCTTCAAAAAAGCGGACTACTTTCGGCACTTGCAATTAACAGCATTAGAGTCTGAAATTTCGCTACCATTATTTGTTTGGTCTGACGACCCAAACAAATAAAAATGGAAGTTCGTAGTGACTAGGTACAGATGTCACATGCATGTTTATCTTTTTTCTCATTTCCCTATCTTGACTTTATTAACTTTTCTGAAGTAGCAATCACGTGACACGCACCTGCTCAAAACATTGCATTGTATTCATTGAATTACGCAAATTTTAAATTTTTTCGATTTCGCAGAGAACATCGTTTTGAAATGCTCATAGTGATGTCCAACATCGAAATCATGGGCATATATTTATATGGAATATACCAAAGACACAGAGAGAAAAAAAAGGTTAAAAGGAGAGAAAAAAAGGTTAACGTTCCCATTTCCCGTAATATAAGTCTACAGGGAAAACAATGCATACGAATAATGATTTAAGTTTAAAGGAAATATCTATTTAAATAATTGTATAATTTGTAGGAAGGGTATGCTGATTTTATACTTGTTTTGTAAAAATATTTATAAAAACTAGATTATCACCCGTTACGATGTGTAAAAATGTTGAAGAAATGAAATGCGTGTTTTCATTTTCTGTTCTATCACTTTAAAATTTTATTTTCACTGCAGTGAAACATATTTTCCGTATTTTCAATTGAGTCTTGCCAGACTACTTTCTGTTAAATTATGTTATACACAGAAAACTGTATATAATAAACAAAAAATCAAGTTTTTCCTATAAATACATGAATTAATTTCATCTTGTGGCATGAAAATTATTATATGTCCTTGTAACTTTTTTTTCAAAAATTGTTAAAATCATAGTTTTCAATGTGACATTATTATAATTATGTCTTTTAAGTTGAATTGATTTATGTCACATAAAACAGTATGTTTTATCTTTAAAAGGCTGCCAAAAATGTTCTCGGCTAATTATCCCTTGATTAGTAGTCTTTGAGACCACACTATTTCGTAGACCATATGCATCTATGACATTTGAAATTTTATTAAAATCCTTTGATCCAGTACATTATTAAATGACATTAAAATAATAATATAAATAAATAAAGATAAAATACCCACATAAATTGTGTAGACATTTTTATCTATTTTATTAACTTTAGCCATTACAATTTAATACTTTCAAATTGATTCAATGTCTAGAAAAAGAAAGCTGTAGATGCCAACGAGAATAGAAAACTTTCAAATCCTCTAGAATGCTGGAAAAATCTTCCAAGATTTTTTATGAATATTTAAAAGATGTTCAAATTCAAATTCCTTCCGAAAGTTTGAAACAGTTGTAATTATGTTGTAATACGCTTTACATGTTATGTTTGTGTTCGTAAGAAGTTCTTCTAATTGTAGGAATGAATAAATTGTGGCTATAACTTAAGTAGGCAATGAAAACATATCCGCTAGAAAAGACCTTAAAGGTAGTAGAAGGCATGACTTATAATTCAAAATGTCATATTTAAAGATTGTCCATGTACAAAACATTACAAACATTATGTCATATAAATATACATTCAGAAATTCAAAGACAAATTACAAGACAAACTAAATATACTATAAGAATATTTTTCTTCCTTCTGACTTTGGTATAAAATGTTTTTGCTTTAAAGTAGTCTATTAATTATGAAACATTAATGCATGCTAAAACAAACATTTTATATAAACGCTTAATA